CAATCCTGGGCGCAGACCTGGACTCAGAGCACAGGGTGGGCTCTGTAGCCCAGGCTGTGGTGGGCAGTGTGAGAACACAGCTGAGTCTGAGTCGGGGGACTGCAGCTTCAAAATGTGCTCTGTAAGCCTGAAGGAAGAAACCTGGGGCAGACAGAGAAAAATCCAGATCCCTAGTCCTGGGGAGTGGGGAAAGAAAAGCTGTCCTCTATTTGGGATGGAAAATAAAAGCAAACTAGTCAGCAACAATGTGGAGTCCCTGAGGAGAACCGGATCTAGACCTTGACCTGACATTCCAAGCTCCACGATCTGCCCTTTAGGTGGCCAGGATCCAGCACCTGCCTCCTGGGCTGGAGTGGGCATGCTAGGGACGGAACCTGACCCCCCAGCGTGACCCAAAGATGGGCCTGGGGGAGCTAATGAGGTTCAGATGAAGGGATTAGTACCCTGAGAAGAAAAACACCGAAAGCTTGCTTTCTCTCCTCACCATGTGAGAATGCAGAGACCCCTCACCAGGAACGAACTGACCTGCACCTCCATCTGGAACTCCCAGCCTCCAGAAATGTGAGAAGTAAGTGTCTTGTAGTTTAAGCCCCCAGTCTATAGTATTTTGCTATCAGCCCGAGCTGACAGAGGGCGGCAGGTGTCTGCAGTGGGGCTTTGCTAATCCCTCCAGTCACCGAAACGCCTCCTGCTCCTGGGAATCTTACCACACTTCACCAGATGGCACTTCTCTCCTTTCTACAGTTCTCTGTGCCTCAACCAGGACACTTAATGTGGCCCTGGTTTTCCTCGAAACACTGACAGTTATGAGTTCATCTGATTCGGTTTAACTTCTCCCAACTCGGCCCCATAAATCCACTTCCTGAATCAATCCCAACCGAGGCAGGAGACCCCTGCCAGTTGTTCCCACAGGGCATCTGACTTACTGTGCATGCCAACTGCAGGGCAGCTTCCCGGCTCCTACGGTTCCTATCCCTTCTCTTCCCTTGGCCCTCCCGAGTCGGCGGATTCTCATAGCGTGATGACTATACTTGGGTCTCTAAGACTAGTTCTGCCACRTGGCTGCCTCTTATCCATCGGGTGGCCAGATAAAATAAGAAGACAGTCTTCTAGTGTAACTATGTCCTGTGCAATATTTGGGACATACTTATGCTAAAAAATGACTTACTGTTTATCTGGACATTTAAATTTAGCTAAACACTTTCTATTTTTAAATTTTTTTTTATTTGTTCTTTTTGTTATCCATGACAGTAGAAACCATTTTAATAGAGTACACGCTTGGAATATATCTTATTCTAATTAGGATCCAGTCTTGTGGATGTACATGTGGTGAGGTTCACTGTGGCGTATTCTGTCACGAGCCATCCATGGGCTGTGTGGACTATGTTGCTCATCGTAGCCTAAGGAGGGGAAYGTCCCGTGGCACCCCCACAGGGACTGACCACCTGATGCAGGTGAACTTCCCCCTCAGGCTCTGCCAGAGATCCCACACAGCACCTGAGATGGGTGAAGCAAGACTCTGCCCTTAAAACCTTATCCCTGCCTTTGATGTCCCCTGATACAAATACAGCAAGTGTGGCCTCCATGTTGCTTTTATCAGTGAGGAAGCTCGATCCCTAAGATTGGCCAGCCCATCCTGCCCCCGCTTTCTAAACATGTCGTCTGTATCCTATGGTTCTTTCGCCGTTCTATTTTTCTTAGCTTTTATTTCGCAGTCAGCCCATTCCAACAAGGGGGACTGCATTTCCGTCACCTGCACGAACATGGGAGAGAGTATTTATATGTGTACATAGGAAAGTTATGTCAGATTCATTCCAGTGTCTTTCCTTTTCCTATCCCCCTTCCTTCCCCTCCATTCCCCGTTGTCTAATCCACTGAACTTCTATTCTTCCCTCCCCCTTATTTTGGATTAGTTTCCACATATCAGAGAGAACATTCAACCTTTGGCTTTTGGGGATTGGCTTATTTCACTTAGCATGATATTTCCAGGTCCATCCAATACTGGCCAATGTTATAAAGTCATTCTTCTTTATGGCTGAATAATATTCCACTGTGTACGTACACCACACTTTATCTATTCATCTGTTGAAGGGCACCTGGTTGGTTCCATAGCATAGCTATTGTGAATGGAGCTGCTATAAATACTCACGTGGCTGTGTCACTGTAGCATGCTGATTTTAACTCCTTTGGGTATAAACTGAGGAGTGGGATACCTGGGGCACATGGTGGTTCCATTCCTAGTGTTTTGGGGAATCTCCATACCGCTTTCCAGAGTGGTTATACTGATTTGCAGTCCCACCAACAACATTCTCTATTTCTGTTTATCAACTCTCCCAGCACCACGTGATTAGATGACATACCTAACACAGATGCATCCTGCCTTGGGGACCAGAGCCCTGTGCCTGAGACCCAAAGCCTCGGCCTCAACCCAGGGCCTTGCTTTCACTTGGCTCTGCTTGTCTGGCGGGATTCCCCAGAACGACTCTTCTGCCCTCCATTCAGGACCTCTGCTGGCAGCTCAGCCTGGAGTTTGTCCAGCCCGGTGGACAGGTCTGTTGCCAGCCTGCCCCCAGCCGAGTAGCCTCTTSGTTCCCATAAACCCCATGACTTGCTGATGATCCCAGGCTTTGACTGGAATGTCCAGCTATTTCCCACTGGACTGGGACCCCAAGGGGCAGGAGGACTTTCCTCAATGATGCCACGATGTTCTACATATCACGGGTACTTAATAAATGACAGTTAACCTCAGATGGAAATACACAGACGATTGAACTGGGAAAGAGGTTGTAAAAATAGGGGCAGGATTATGAGAAAGCAGACAAAAGAGGCCAGATAATATTTTGAGTCAATAGAAAAGAGTGAGTATGAGATGGTACAACTGGAACTAACTTCCTCTTTGTATGTTTTGATCCCAAACTTTCTCCAAAAGGAATTTTTAAAAAATTATTTATCTTTAAAAGTCTAATTATCTGGACCCAGTGRCACATGCCTGTAATTCCAGCTACTGGGGAGGCTGAGGCAGGAGGATCATAAGTTTGAGGCCAGTCTCAGCAACTTAGTGAGACCCTGTCTCAAAATAAAATAAGTAGGGCTGGGAATGTAGCTCAGTGGTAGAACACTTGCTAGCATGTGTGAGGCCCAGGGTTCAATCTTCAGTACTACAATAAAAATAATAATAAATGAAAGTCTGATTACAGGTACAGGAATACTCTGGGACAGAAGTTGGAAAGAAGTAAAGACCACAAGCCCCTCAGAAGTCCTCAGAAGTGACCAAGGTTTATAGTAATGGAGGCTGGCCCAGAGTACTGCCTTGGCATTGTCCAGAGCCATGTATTCACTCTTTTTCCTGAATCTCAGTCCTTTATATAGTACATTCTTATGAGGTATTTTGGTCACAGTGACAAAAATCTAACACCATTTATACTCCTGTAGAGATTCCATTTTTAAGGACGTCTTGTGTTGAATATTTACCATGCATTGAACACCAGGCTAAGTTTTCAAGGAATTACGTAATGTAACTTTACATCCTCCTTATGAGATAGTTATTGCATTTCTTCACATACAAGTAAGGAAATGGGGGCTTAAAGGAAGATAATCTACACAGCCCTCAATGGCACTGGAGACAGGATTCAGCCCATTCCAAAGTCTATTTCTTGACGATTATGCAATGGCTACAGACAGCAGATCTGGAGGTCCTGATGCAGGGAAGCATCAGGCTGCCTGTGCCATAGACAGTGTGCTGACAGCCTTCTCTGCCTTAGACCTGGGGCCAAACTTGGCCCACTGCCTGGGTGGGCATGACCATGCCAAGTGGCTTACATGTTGTCTACGGCTGCTGCTGCTATGATAGAAACTGTATGGCCCACTCAGCAGAAATTGTTGATGATACAACCCTCTACAGAAAATGTTTTCCAACCCTTATGTCAGGCCACTAAAGCCTTCTGCTAATTGCTCTAGAAAGGAGGGATTTTCCAAATTTTAGAAAAAAAGAGAAGAGAGAGCAGTAGTCCCCTAATTTGGGCAAAAAACCACTATATATATTCTATCATTTCATAAAAGACAAGATTTTAATACTTAAGTATAAGGGGATATAATTACCAATAGTCCTTTGGATGAAATAAATTTAAATGTATGAAAAACTTTGATACTCTTTGTATAGATGACTCCATAGCACCTGTCAGCCCTCCGAACCTGTGTATCTATCATTCATTCATGCACTCACTCTGTCAGACCATATGATTTATTGAGCACCTACTATGCGCCAGGTACCATGCCCATACTAAGGGCATGGTGAATCATTTCCCTCTATTTCTTTTACCATCTGTCTTTCCTTTGGTTGTTTGGATTGAAATTTAAAAAAAAAAAAAAAAAAACCTTTTATCACAATTCAATTAACCATTTTCTTGTTATGACAGCCTGATGGTATACCACTGGGGAAAATGATCCATTTGAAAATATCACAACACAATAATATGGGGTCTCTCTCTTTCTCTTTTAGTGTATATAATGACTCGAGAAACTTAGGGCAGGAAGATATTTTTCAAGCCACAGAAACTGTCCACTCCAGATCTCTGAGGGTAACCGTTTACACATATATCTTTCCATTTTGAAGTTTTCCAGTATAAAAGCTCCACCTCCTAATAATTCCTCAAATCCCTTAATACCATGTTGCTAGAAACTATTCTTCTATGATAGTGAATGTATCCCCAACAAAGCAGTCAAGTCATTTAAAAATTATAAGCAAAAGTTAATTATACAAAGTGACTATCCAGGTACTTCAAAAGTTAATTATAAAGTGACTATCCAGGTACATTCTTGAACAAATAAGAACATTCGAATTGTTGCATTACATATAAACTATGTAACATGTCTTTGCTTAAATATTTCTGATTCAGAATTATTCCTTTTAAAAAAACTATCACATTGATAAGACAAATACAAGGAATGTTCCAATTACTCCACTGATCATTGGATATTTTAAAAAAATTAATGATACTTACTGTGTATTCTGATTCCAGATATTCATTTGAAGAAAAGGGAAAAGAAAAAAAAAGATAAGAGTGATTTAGATCATATTTATGTGTAACATACACCACAGAACTAACAAATACAGAGTTATAATTATAATTATTAAAAATGAACTATAATTATTAAAATGTAGTAAAGAAACCTTCCCAAAATTAGATTTTCATAAATACTAATGTCTCCATTTCTGTTCTGAAACTATTTTAATAGGTTGTGGCTGGGCAGATAAGAACAGGAAGACAAGATTCAATTAGCCTATAGGTTTGTGGCTAATTAAAAACCCAAGAGTTGGCATTCTACAAGCAGAATTAAAGACTAATAATTCTAGTAAAGCATTTCATTAACCACAAAGGAAATCTTCTAAGTGGAAAAGTAGCTTTTATAACCAGTACAAAGAGCTTGTTATAAGAATGTGCAAAAGGCATCTTGGAATTTGGTGTATTCAAGAACAGGAACCAAACCTAGATTTGGGGGGGGGGGCATGGTTTCTGGTTCAGTATTCAGTACAGAGAGTTTATAAGCACTTCTCTAGGAGGAAAGTGATCTTAAAGATTTTCATATTTTATTCCAATAACAAAGGGAGTCACTGGGAGCAGAAAGACACAAAAGAAATTCTTACACAAATTATAATCAATTGGTAATTCAAACAAGCCAAAATAAACCACTTTAGAGATGAATCACAGGGAGAAATAGGAATAATAAAACCTCAAGAGACTAGGACTAGGTCTTCACCTCCCTTGTCGATGGCTGTTTATTACAGTCACTCCCGGGAGGAAGATGGAATGGCTTAGCCRAACCCCGCCCCCCTGCCAGCCCTGTATGGATTATCGGTTCTAACTCAGTGAAATTCCACTACTGCTGTGTCCTGGCATTTACCACATGTGGCATACTGCTTGTGCTAAGGACTTACCTGTAATTGTGTAGGGATAATAGTTCCAAGCCTTCTCTGTCACATAAAATATTTTTGGGACAACAGCTCTAGCCCAACTTGGTAGTTTGCTAAGAGGAAAGAAAAAAAAAAGATATTAGAGCCTGTTCAGAACCTGGCCACGTTACTGATCTTTCTGGATAAATTGCTAGAGAAATCAGGGATTCTCAAGCATCTCTTCTCTCTATGCCCTTCACTTCCCTATCCCTGCGCTTTTATCTGTGGCTGAGCATTTCCTGTGCATACTCATGTTCTCTCAAAATGCATAAAGGCAGGAGGCTATAGCCTCATTTGGAGGAGGGAGGCTCCTAGGGCTGCAAACCCTGCTTCTTTGATTGGAGAGTTTGGAGCCTGGGAGGTGCCACGTTTGGAGAAGTCAGCCAACCGGCCTTGGTCTCTTAGGGTGCTGTGGAGGAAGTGGTCTACGGGGATGTTTAAGCCCAAAGTGGGGGAAACAGAGGCCAGCTTCAACCCAGCAACTTGTAAGAGTGGCCTTTCAAAAATGGGCAAAAGCAATAGAGGCGAGAAACTTGGAGACATGAAGAAAACAAAACATCACCGCTTGATGGCTATAGTTGGTTGAATGGCGTCCCTCAAAATGATGCAGTAAACTCGTACTGTGACCATGATCTCATATAAAAGCAGGGTCTTTGCAGATGTAATTAAGTTAAGGATCTCAAGATGAAATAAATTTGCATTGGGTTAGTCAAACTCTAATTACTAGAATCCTTATAGGAGAAAGAAGGAGGAAATTTGAGACTCCGACACCCAGAGGGGAAGGCCATGTGAAGATGGCAGCAGAAAGCAGAGTGGGGCAGCTGCAGGCCCAGGGACGTCAAGGACTGCTGCAGACAGCAGAAACCGGCCGAGGGCATGGAACAGATGCCCTGCAGAGTCCCCAAGCACTCCAACACTTCCATCACCTCGATTTCAGACTTCTGGCCCCCAGAACTCGGAGAGGATAAATTTATATTGTTTTAAGCCACTTCGTTTGTRGAAATTTGTTGTGTCAGCACCAGGAAATTAATCCAACGACAGAGTCATTCATTTGGAGCAAGGGCCTGGACAGTCACTTCCAAAAACACATCCCCAAAAGGCACAAGGTCCTAAGGTCTTTTGTAAACGCAAGACTAATTAACTTCTGTTGTGTTTCCCTTGAGGGGCCAGCCCTACAGTGTAGCACAGGGCCAGAGAATTCCTCAAACATCCTTATAATATTTAAGAAACTTCTAAGGCAATCTAGTTTTTAAACTAATCTACATGATTCTATCCCCCTCCCTGCACAGCCACACATCYGGGATTTTTCTGCTTCTTTCCTGTTCCAGTGCCTACGGCAATGTCTGGGATGCTAACATCTCACAGTGGATCAGACCTAGGGAGATGACGTGGATGCTCAGCCCCTGAGGGCTGCGTGTTGGCGGTAAAGAGCATCAAGAAGCAGTTCTGAATCCCAAGCTGATAAAACCAGGAAAGGGAGGACATCAGACCAGTCGAGCCCCAAATCCCAAACCCCTCTTGGATGTGAAAACTAAATGACAACAAGGGCCTGTCAAATACTGTGTACCTTGTGTGTCTTCTCAAATTGTTTCTCTTATTTTCTGACAGTAGCCAGGCCCAGCTTTTGAAAAGACAAATGTGTATTTTCAATGGTGGGCTGGACCTAACTCAGAGCTCTGGGCTGTTGATCAGGGTTGAAACAGATGGGTGAGTGTCAGCCCACAGCCCTGGGTCTCAGGTGGGCTGCAAGAGACAACAAAGCTGCTTTAAAATCCACCTGACACTTCTTGCTTCTCTAATGCAGAATTTCTCACTCCCATAAAATCGTCTCCACAGTAACTGCTCATTTACCTTATATTCTGCTTCTCAAAGGATGGGCTGCTCCCTGGCAGGGGTTTTTATAGCTTTTGCTGATGACTGATTCCATCAGTGACTCTGGAGGGCAACTGAGGTTGACACCGAGTGGGAAAATCCCACAGGCTTGCTTGCAGGAAATAGTCTTGAGCAAGACTTCCCCTGGGGTCCTTTCTGTTTGTGCCCACACCCCAGAGTGATGCGCCAATGAATGTGTAGGGAGATGCAGATTCGAGTCTTGGGCACATATGCTTTTATGCTTTTAATGGACTGAAACAGGGTTGGAGATTCTTCTCAAAGTAAGCAAGCCATTTTTTAGCTTAGATGAAGTGCATATGTCTCTTTCAAGCCCAGAGCCTGCTCCCACAATTCTCTTGTGCAGAGAGGTTCCATCTCTGCTTCACTTCTCCTCAAATGCACTAGGCTCCTCCTGTGTAGCACTCTGGGGGCCTAGGTGCCTTCTCCCTCCATAATTCATTCTCTCTAGCATTTAAAAAGCCTCCCAACAGAACCACTTTCCTAAGTAACAGTCATTTTCTGGAAGGAAGATGAAACCAATGACAATTTTCCATTCACGCTGAGACCTTTCCTATTTGCAAAACAGTCATGACTCCAGAATCTAGAAACTTCATTTTAGCTGTGCAACCACTAACTCATGCAGGATAGGCCAAACTACTGTCAATCACCTTTTCCAGTGAGATGCCCTAAAAAACACAAGTATCCAGCCAAGATGGCTGCTAGGATTTTGTATGTCTGGAGAGGAAACCCTTCTGGTATAAGACATTTACTGGGTCAAGTACAGCAGGTTGGGACCACTTGTTTGCAACAAGTTCTGTGATGTTTGCTATAGTTTGTATGTTAAATGGTCCCATGTGTTAAAGGCTTGGTCCCTAGGGTGGTGCTATTGGGAGGTGATTGGACATTTTGGAGGGTCATTAGGGACATGTCTTTCAAAAGGGATTTGGGTATCCCAGCTATTTCCTCTTCCTCTTTTGCTTCCTGGCCATGAGGTGAGTAGTTTGCTCTGCCATGAGCTCTCCTTTCCCATATTGTCACATGAAACCTCCAACAGAGGCCTAAAAGCAATAGGTCTGCCTGATCATGAACTAGAACCTTTAACACTGTAAGCCAAAATAAACCTGAACGCTTTATAAGTTCATTGTCTCAGGTATTTGTTATAGTGACAAAAAGCTGACTAACACAATGCTATTTCAGTATCTCTAAGCCCACTAACAGACCTCCTTTCCGTCCCCCTTCCCGCAGAACACATCATTATTTGAATCATTTATGTCTGAGAAAGTAAAACTTATTTTCCCCTGCAGCAGTGATTTATGAGGACCTGCAAAGGAAAACGGAATTAAATTAGTTCTCACTGTTGCTGTCACTTTCACGATGTACACTGTCAATTCTAAGAAAAAGCCTGTCATTCATACTCACTACCAGATGTCAAACAAAAGCCTCTCTTCTAGAAAGACGGCAAATTTGAGTCAAGTCCTTAATCCATGCTCAGGCCAGGACCAAATTTCCCAATGGGCCACCTCTCCAACACTCGGGACTTAGAGACATTTAAATTCTAAAGCTTTTCTAGAATCTGAACACATGCTACTGTGACATGATATTCAACTGCTTCATATTCCCCTAAGATGGCTCTGTCAATGCCTCTCAGACAGACTTCAAAGTGTTTGGTTTTCTTACTTTCTTTAGTATGACAGAGAACATAATCCAGCCAGGTGGCCAACTCATCCTGGCTTACCTGGGACTTTCCTGGGTTTAGCCCCGAAATTCCCATGTGCCAGAAGATCACTCAGTCCCAGGCAAATTGGGACACATAGTCACCCTAGAGTCCTGGTTCTTAATAGTGGGTATTTTTGTCTCCCCCCATGATAACCATAACAAATAGTTACCAGGCTCCAAATTCAACAGAAGCAAGACTGAGGAACTTGGTACACTGTTTCTCCTCTCATGTAGTTCCAAGGTTCCCTATATCACAACTGACCAGACGAGAAGGCCTGGGGAAGGTGGGTTCTGAACTGGCCTCAGGTTGAAGGTGTTTAGCTGCTTCTCAGACCTTCTGGGAATAAAGTATAAAGGTCCATCAGAATCTTCTGGTGTTTACAATCCAGATTGTCTCAAAGTTTCCCCTCGGATCTAATCTCACATTGCAGTATATGCTCACTTGGGACCTGATCCAGGAGGTAGTGAACATCATTAGGCTAAATGTGGTCTAAATGGAATCTAATTTCATTTTCTCAACAAGACTCAGAATTGTGACAGTCTTAACTGGCAATCTGAAACTTAAATATTCCCAGCAGAAAAGTCRGACCGGGGATTTTCTCCTAAACAGACACCTAAACCTAAATCCTGTCTCTTCCTGCACTGAGATTATGTTCAAATGACAGGAGTTCATTTTAAATGGGACCCCACTACCCTGTATCCTCATTTCCCTCTGATCCAGGAGGAATATTCTGACCTTTCATTTCTTCTTTGTGGTGAAATTTGACATTTGACAATGATTTGATAATCATCGATGGCCCTTATCCAGTTGTACGAACAGTGATTTCTGAGGTCTCTGAATTTCTTCTTCAGCTATTCGAATTCATTCACTTACTCTTCTAGATGGTCGTTCTGGCTGGTCTTTCACTTGTGCTCTTAATGTAATTGTTTACATAGCAATAAGGAGATGAGCAGAGTTTCGGGACCACAGCCATCACCTGCAGAAGGCTAAGCTGCTGTGCTTCATCCACAGGAACTGCCCAGAAACAAAGTTCCTTGCACTTGGACACAGACCCCACCAACTTAAACTCTGGGTTAGGTTTGGGGAAAGGAGGCCTGTGTCATGCAGATTCTTTGAAGGCTCTGCTTGAATGGCACTAGGGTAATGTGGTCAGCGGGCTGGRGAGCTCCCAGGAAACAGTCACTCATGTCAACATCATCTTTCAGGGGTGAGGCAGAGCCAAGGTGGGAAATKCTTAGCTGGATGCCCTCTAAGATCCCAATCAGGCCAAAACTTTCCATCTCTATAACTTCCTGTGAGAGTACTTGAGGAAGCAGAGGAAGAGGAGGCCTGGCACCAGAAAAACTTCTGGAGTGTTCTTAAGTATTGAGATGGTAACAGAACAGAATAGCTTGGACTGAGAGGTATGAAAGGAGTAAGCCCTTCACACACTCTAGTACTTCCATAGCACTCTCACCTTCATATATGTGTGTGTGTGTGTGTGTG